TTTACTTTTATTTTTATATTTTATTAAAAAATAGTTGATTTTTTTTTTTTTATGTATGCTTATTTGTTATTTTAAGATTCTATTCTTGTGAGGAAAAGTAGACTTGGCTTATTAAAAAAATCTAACTTTAAAGAAGAAGATAGAGAAAGGTCAATCTTTTGACCTTTAATTTCCTCATGAAATTAAAAAAGTGTGGAGAAGATGCTACCCTTCTCAAAATTGAAATTGGCATGTGTATCAGAGATTTTGCAAAGCCTTGATTGAGTTGGAGCAAGCTTGAAGAGAATGTTAAAAACATTATATTGAAGAGAATGTTAAAAACATTATATTGAAGAGAATGTTAAAAACATTATATGGACATTTTTAAAGGTAATACTTCTTTTTAACTATAAATTACTTATTATTATTGTTTTTTTTCTTAGTAGAAGAGTAGATAAAGATTAATAATGATGCTAACCGTTCACCCTTTTCATTTACAAAATAGTTTCTGGATTCCTAAAACCCACCTGTTAAGCTCACGATCCAATGTTCCTCCTTTTGCTTTCATCTAGCTAAACATAAATAACTTTTAAAACATAATTAACCTCAGCCTTGGGCATTTCAATCCCCTTTAAATGCATATATATTCCTATGCAATTTTATATTTCATATAGTAGTAAAGTAAATAAAGGGTTATTTTACTCTCATGTTTTAAGGTAGTGCTATTTTTATTTTGTTAGATAAATATATTAAAAGTTAATTTTTAATATTTCATTAAATAATTCTAGTTAACTTAATTTTATGTTAACTTTTCAACGTAAGTTCAAGTTAGATGAGAATGCCCACAATATTGTGATGAAACAATACCAAACTCAATTCAACGCATGACATAATAAATTATATAAAGAATATAGGACAAAAAGAATTTGTCCAAATTATGTTGAAGAAACTAAGTGGAATTGGTTAATTTAGAACAAAGGAAAAATTGACAAATTCAAGGAATGCTAATATTTGATTATTTTATTTGTTAATTTTAAATATTTAAATATTATTTATTTCTTTTTACTCTACTATTCTATAAATCATAGCATTTTAATCTTATGTATCAAATTGCAAGACAACAGTAATAAAAATAGTTTTAATATGACGAAAGTTCAAATCCCATCCACTGTTAGCACAAAATCAATTATCCAAATTGTTCATGAACTAGTAATTACTAATTTTTAAATTTACAGTAAGTAATAGTTTTGTATATATATTTTATGTTGATTATAGTATAAATTTTGATTGATTTACTTTCATTGTTATAATAGAAAGAAGGGTCAGAAATAGAAACATTGCCTTCTGCTTCAAAAGTATGGGAAGTGAGAGGATTGAACGCAAACAAGCAATGGAAAGTTCCTAATGGGGAAAGAATTTTGGTAATTATTTATTTGTATCATTTTTATATATTCATTTGCTATTTTTTTATAAAAATTTATTTCTTTTTTCTATCGGAACAACTTCAAATTGTTGCAGTGGAAAATGTTGAAGAGATTTCCTCAACTCCTATTTTGCTCATAGAACATTTTAGACAAGAGTTAGGATGACTCAAAGGACGATATGCCTGAGGTCTTGGAATAGGAGGACTTTCGAATCGTTATATGGAACAAGAATTAATTAAAGCACGTGAAGAACAAGCGATAAAACGTGCAGATGATTTGGAGAAGATGATTTCAAATTTGGGTGGGACTATAAAAATGCAAGACGATTTAATTAACCAGTTA